TCGAAGACCCTGGGCCCCATCCCAGTTCTCACATCTGTCTTATGATCCTGTTGCCTCACCTGAGACAGAACAGTGACCCTACCCCAAAGGTGGCTGATAAGGCAGGTTTCTTTGAGGATAATTTTGATATCAAATAAACCCTAATTCAGAAGGTGCAGGAAGCCTACTTCTTTCTCACGTCTAACTTCATTCCCTAACTTCTGAATGTTTCCTTTCCTTTGACACAAGTACAGTACGTGTAACTCACAGGTTATAGAACTGGTTATGATTAGGTCATGCCAGACTTACAAGTGGTAAAGAGAATATTTCCTGAAATAATTCCCCATTGCTTGCTTCTTCCTCTTCTACTTTTTTTTTTTTTTTTAAGTACAAACCTGAGAAAAGGGAGAGTGTCAACACCTCAGACCACAAGGTCCTGGCAGCTCCTAACACAGCCATGTCACTGGACAGCTCTATTTGGAGGGTTAAGAAGTTGGTGAGTGACACTGGCTTGTGAGAGTCTGATTGTTTTTGCTTTAAATTTTAAACTTAAATTTTTGTTCTGTTACCTACTTTTAAGGCAATTAAAAACCAGGAAAAATTTATTTTTTGTATTTACTCTCATTTTAACGAATTCCAATGCTTTGCCTGAAGAAATTCCTCTAATATTTTTGACATGCAGATCCTCTGAAAAATACTTCATTTTTGTCTTCATTGTTGAGGATAGTTTTGCTGGGTATAGAATTCTGGATTGATAGCCAGGTTTCCCTCCTTGCTGGCACTTTATGATGTCATTCCCTTGTCCTCTGGCTGACACTGTTTCAAATGAATAGTGTGCTATAATTATTATCTCTGTCCCTCTGTACCTGTCTTTCCCACCTCTGGCTTCAATAGATTTTCTTTCTTTTTGATTTTTTGACAATTTGACTATAACATATCTAGGAATGTGTGTGGTAAGTGTAGTTTTTTAGTGACTTCCAAAATTCTTCAATCTGTGGCATTTTGTCTCTCATTCCTTTTGGAAAATTGTTGGTCTTTATATCTTCAAATATTGTTTTACCCTTTCTCTCTTTAGTTACCTTTATGTTAAACTGTTTGATATCCCCCATCAGCCCTCTTGTGCTCTATTCTGTTCTTTTTTTTACCCACTTGTGTTTATTTTTAATATCTTTAAGTTCACTGATCTCCCCCCCTCACCTGTTCTGCTCTGTTGCAAACCATGAGAGGAAGCCCAGATGGAACTCTATTGTCTATTTCTCACATTTCCATCTAGCTCATTAGTAGTTTCCCCCGTTTGTTGAAACAGCTCATCTATTCTTGTAGGTTGTCCACCTTTTCCATTAGAACCTCTGGCATGTTTACAACTGTCATTAAGGGTCCCTATTTGACAGCCCCAACAACTGAGTCATCTCTACTGCTGCATCTCTCAACAACCCACAGTGAGTGAGTCCATTTTTGTTTTTCAATGTTTGTCTAGTGATTTTTAAATTATGTCAAACATTGTGTGTAGAAACACAGTAGCTCCTGAGGTGAACACACTTATCCCAAAATGAGCATGTACAGTGAGGCTGTTGGGGAGGGATCGGATGGGGATGGGACAATCTAGCCAGAAAATTAGCTGGTTTTGAGTTTGTTGTTTCCTCATGATCCTCAGTAACCACAGGCTACAACTTCCTAGGGAAAGGCTTCAGTCACCTGCTATGCTCAGCCTGGGGCTTGGGGGCTTCTCACTTCCAGCAGCTCCAGTGCATCTGCCAGATCAGCCTCAGCCAAGCAGCTGCCTCTCCTTGGGTGCTGGACTCTCAGCTCCTAGTCCAGCCTCACTTGCAGTCTTGGGGTGGGGCCTTCTCAGAATTCCTTTAGATTCTCTTCCTATTCCACTCACCAATAGCCCCCAGCAGTAGCAGAGCATGATCTGTATCAGACACAATCTGGGGCACCTCTCACAGATCCTCTTCTCTCAGGGACCTCCGTGCATAGGGTTGATGTCCCCTTCTGAGTGGTTTGAGGCTTCTGTTTCCTATAAAAGGAGAGTCTGGGCCAGGTGGGTATGCCAGTGGCCAGTCATCTGCACTACACCACCCAGGAAACCCTATGTAGTCACCCCTCCTGCCCCAGTCTTTCTCACAAGCCTTATATAATAGATCATAGCACTCAGGAAGCAAAAACTCCATGTCTGGTGACAACTGTCTCCCTAAGAATTCAACAGTGTATTGGTGGCTTTCTCCTTAACCTCTCCCTCTTTCACTTTGCTGAAGGTGAGGCCAGTCACAGGTCCATCCCTCCTCAGTCAGGGGAGGTGGGAATTTTGATCCATTAAGCTGCTGTGCTGAGTGAGTACAAAAAAGTTGGCTTTTGCAGAACATCTAGCTCACTGTTAGGATGGGGGAGACTCTGGAAAGCAGAATCTCAATATGATTTAATCCCTGTTCAATGTAATCCTGTATTCAGCCTCGCCTATGGCTGGTGTTCCCAGTGGACAAACCATGAGTACATGAATAGGACATGTGTTCTCAGAAACACCCCTTAGAGCCAGTGTCAGGCAGTGCTGTTCAGTGGGTCCATCCTTTTACAAATTTTCCATCTAGTTGTTCTGCCAACTGAGGGGAAGAGGGTGTTGAAATTCCTTCCCTGTCTCTCTTTAGTTGTCACCTTTTTTTGTCATCCAAGGATATGTTTATTGATTTGAGAGGGAGAGAGAAACTTCGATGTGAGAAACGTGAATCAATTGCCTCCCATATGCGCCCAACTGGGAATTGAACCCACGCCTTTTGGTGTACAGACGAAGCTTCAACCAACTGAGCCACCGGGCCAGGGCTAGTTGTCACTTTTTCTATCTCATGTACTTGGAGGTTTGTTACATCTTCCTGCTTGATGACTCGTCCTTAATCTCAAGAGATACTCGATCTTGAATGCTCCCTCTGACTACTGCCTCCAGTGTGCTTTTCCCATCCATTTCCTTTCAAACTTTCTGCATTTCTACATTTAATGTGCATTACCTCTAGAAGAATACAGCTGCATCTTACCTTTTCCTTAAGTTGTTCTATAGATTCCTGTCTTTTAACTGGAATGTTTAATCCATTAACACTTAATGTAATTATTGATATGGTGTTTAGGTTTACCACTTAATTTTTCATTTCCTATTAAACTCTTAGTTTTATATCTGTGCTCCTCCTTCCTGCCTTTTTGGGTCATTCAAATGTTTTCAAATCACCCCTTTAATGTGTCTATCAGACTTTTAACTGTCACTCCACATTTTCCTGGTGCATGTTCCAGGGACTAAAATACAGGTCTTTAGCTTTTGAATATACTTAAAGTTAATACTATGCCGCTTCACATAAAATGTGGACACTGCAGCCACATGGGTCCATCTGCGCCTTCTGCCATGCTCCATGTCATGCCTGTCACATGTATTCCCCTCTGAGTGCATTACAAATCTCAGAAGACAAAGGATTCATTTCACTTTAAATAGTTATATGGATTCTGAAGTAAGAAAATGAAGGAAAACCATCTTCACATTTACCTATGTGTTTACTGTTTTCTGTGTTCTGTGCTCCTGCCCAGGGACCCACATTCTCACCTCCTGTTACTTTCCTTCAGCTGGAGAGCTGGCTGTGGCATTCCTGTAGCGCTCATCTGCCAGCAATGAATTCTCTCATTTCTCCTTATTCCAACGCCGTCCCTGGAGAACATAGTTTGCGCGCAGGATCCTGGTGGATTGTGTCCATCTTTCAGCACCACAGCTCCTGGGTGCCAGGGCCCAACCATTTCCAAGGCAATGGTAAGCTTCTCTGCTGCTTTCAAACTTCTCCCTTCCCCTTTGGTTTTTGATGTTGATTTCAGATGATGTCACAAGCAGCTTTCTTTTATTTATGCTGTTTGGGGTTCACCAATCTTCCTGCATCTGTACACATGTGAGTGCAACCACACTGGGAAACTTTTCAGCCATTCTCTGTCCCCTCCTGGGGCTCTGGTCTCAGCCTTGATCTTTCATTCCTGTCACCTCCATCCTACTATCCAGCCTATTTAGTGAATTCCTTATTTCATATATTCTATTTTTTCCGTTTTGAAATTTCCACTTGGCTCTTTTCTAGATTTTCTGCTGTGAGCACTTTTTCTTCTTCTTCAGGAGCCTGATTTCCCACCTAGGTACGCAGTATTGGCAGCTGCTCAGACCCTGTCTGAAAACTCAAGCATCTAGTCATCTAGGGGTTGGCCTCTGTCGACTGTCTGTTCTCTCTAGAATAGGGCTGATGTCCCGGTCCTCTGTTTTTTGTGTGGTTGGGGACTGTGTCCTAAACATGAGGATGTCAAGCTGAGGGGTAACTGGGTTCTGTGATGCCAGAGAGCACTGATGTCTTTGTTGTAATGGCATGTAAGCTGGTGAGACCCAAATAGAATGCTTGACATGGCTGGCCCTGTCCAGGCCTGTTCACTTAGGGGCCATCTTCTGCTTGTCCCCAGGCAGCAGGCCTGGTCCCACTGCCCATTCATTTCTGAACAAATCCTTACTTATTCTGCCCACTCATCCTGGGTGCAGCATTTCCCCTGAGACTACAGCTGGGGGAACCTGAAGTCCTCCCCCTCCTCTGGGGAGGGTGTCCATGGGCTTGTGTCCACTGGGGACTCAGTGTGGCCTGGAGAAGGGAACACACGTCACAGGCCTTTTCATTCGTCTAGGGTTGGGGATGGATCCATAACATTCAATGAAACCACTGCTTGCTGTCACTATTGTGGGACTACTCTACCCAGTAATATAGAGACAGTCCCATATGCATGAAGCTAAAAAATGCATGAGTTCCCTCCTTGGTATTAGTCCACCACTCTGGGCAAGGAGACTGGCTGGGGGTAGGAGTCCCAGGTTAGATAACAAACATAGTATCAGAACAACATAGTGAAACCTGAGGGCTAATGACAGATGCTTAAGCAATGATAAAGCCAGAAAAGAAGGCAGGAGGATACATACCCCAATACAAAATGTTAACTCTTGCAGAGTTTTTTCCTAAGTGATTTTCACTTACCAAATGAATACCTGAAAAACAAAAAGAGAAAAATGTATTAAAATTTGGCATGCTTTGCCAAAAAATGTATAAGATTAAAGCATTGTGTTACATCACTAAGTGGAGCCCATGTCCATGACCTGAGGTAAGTGTGGGGTCAGGGCACAGAGCTTATGAACATTAAATACAGCAGGAAGTGAAGATAGAGGGAAGATGTGTCCTCAGGTGCTGAGTGGAGGGGAGAGTAGAGGGGAGACCTGCTCTCGGGTGCTGAGTGGAGATGAGTGTGGAGGGGAGACTGTCCTCAGGTGCTGAGTGGAGATGAGTGTGGAGGGGAGACCTGTCCTCAGGTGCTGAGTGGAGATGAGTGTGGAGGGGAAATCTGTCTCGGATGATCTGAGTGGGGGTTTGGAACCCCACCAGGCTGCCCCGGGGAATAAAAGCCTTTTCATGTCCAACCCCACCCCACAACAGGCCAATCAAAAAATATTTTGGAAAAAAGTAAATATAATCCTTGGTTTTCCTGCAGTAAATAATTGCAATCAAACAATGTAAGAATATCATACCCTAGAATCTGAAAATTTAAAAGATGACATCACCCTGAGCACCTATTAGAAGAGGGCCCCAAAATAAAGGAATTGGGGGACTTGTCTCCTCTAAGGACTTGAGGTCTGCCTTTATTTGGAATCTAAGTAGAACCTTGAGTCCTCACCTTGGCCTGGGGCTTCAGTGATACAGGCTCACTTTGAACCTTGGGAAGGGGAGACACATTAGCCCAAATCATAGACTGTAAATTCCCACAACATAATGGAACACAACTAAGGTGGGGGATTGCATGTGGCCTTGGAACAAATACCCTTCACATCTGTGCAGCTCTGCACCTGTCTTCCAGCCCAAGTTAACAACAAAATCTACCACTTGGATAAAAAGACCACACCCATCTTTACAAACATCACAACCTATTTTTTAGGAGTAAAAAGCAATGGGGAACTGACCCACCCTACAATGTGAATGCACCCTGAAAGCATCATGCTGTATGAGATAAGCCAGACACAAAAGGCCACGTGGTGTGTGACTCCATTTATGTGCAACATTCAGAGCAGGTGCATCTACAGCGACAGAAAGTGGATCAGCGGGTGCCAGGGCCTGGGAGAGAAATGGGTGTACTGGCTAATTAAAGAAACAAGTTTACCCAGCAAATTCTCCCAGTAAATCACCTTGTTGACAGAGAGGGGGAAGAGGCTGATTTTCACAAACTCATAAAGAATGAACGCTTCCCATTTTATCAGGTCTGATTAGAAGAGACAGAAGTCGGTCAGGTCAGAGTTAGCCTTGCACGACCTCTGCCCGCAGCCTGGGCCACCAGGACACGGCGCCCGTGGAAACAGGGACGGGCCTGCGCTGTTACCACGATCACATTTATTGAGGGTATTAGAAAACGTGTTCTTTCGTAACTTCACCTGTTTAGAATTTTGAATTTCAAGGCTGCCTAATATGAGATTTTTAAATATAGGTAAGTATATCTAATTACATGAAAAACTGCAATGTCTTTATTACTTTTATAGCTTTTATTATATTTTTTAACGGCTGAAACTTATTTAGGAGATGGCTGTCCATGGAGCTATTTTGGGGACGTACTGTTCGTTGTTGTTTTTCTCTTTTTCTACTGTTTTGTTCTTTAAAGAAACTTCCTTTTTCCAAGAGCCTAGATTTTGCTCCCAAATGGTCTGTGCTAACATGGTACCCCTGCCTGCCTATTCGGGACAGAGCCTCTACACAGAGGAAGGCCACCTCCTATGAAGGAAGTGACAGAACCAAGAAGGGGTGGAGCTTTGCAACATCCAGGCTAACACGCTTTTGTGCCCACCACACAAAGCGGGTTTTGTCCACACCCCTTGGGGCTCAATCTACCCCAATGACTTCTGTCTGAGGCTCCTATTTTTACAAGGCCTCTGATTAGAAAAGTACACAAGGCTTCAGCACTGTTTTGTTTTGTAAAAAGGCTTTACGGATAAATATTTGTTAAACTAGAGGCCAGGTGCACACATTCGTACACCGGTGGGGTCCCTCAGCCTGGCCTGCACCCCTCACAATTCGGGACTCCTTGGCGGATATTGGGCTGCTGGTTTCAACCCAACTGGGCCTGACCTGAGGGAATTGGACCAAATCCGGCAGTCCGACATCCCTCGAGGGCTGTAGTAGTACACAAAGCGGCAGGAGGCTGGGGAGGAACCCGAGCCCAGGCCGGGGACCAAGCTGCTCTCACTCATCCCAGCCCTGCTGCGCCTGCCGCTGCTCAGTAGCACTGCTGCGGAGGTGGCAAAGGCTCATGCCGTCACAGCTACGCTTGCCAGATGTGAGCCTGGCATCTGGCACCTGTCAGTCAGCTGAGCAGCGGTCCTGCTGTGAGAGCACACTGGCCACCAGGGGGCAGCTCCTGTGTTGAGTGTCTGCTCCCCAGTGGTCAGTGCATGTCATAGCGACTGGTCATCAGGTTGTGTGGTCGCTTAGGCTTTTATACATATAGATTATGCTCATTCCCTGGCTGTGGACAGGCAAACTGTGAATCTGTAAGAATTCCCCCCACTTTCTTGCCCAGCACAGAGCCCCCTGAGGGCTCACTCAGGAAGCAGGCAGACAGGGGTTAGTAATAAAGCCTGTTCTTCCAAGCCACCTCTGATTCCTGATGCATATCTGTGACTGATCTTAGCATCCCACTGAAGCCCTTGTTGTGTGATGATGACAAACAGAAGCAGCTCAGGATGAAAATGCCACAGGAACTAAAACAGCAGCCCTCAATGTGCCCAACCCCAACCCCAACCTCTGGAAACCAGGGGTTTTGTCCACACCCTGTGGAAAAACTCATCACAGGACTGTGGGGAGTGAAGCCACAGCACCTCAGCTGTCTCAGTGCCAAGGTGCAAGAGCGAGGGGGGCCCTCTCTGTGGGTGAGAAGGGCTGTCTTCCTGTGACCCAGCTGAGGAAGCTCTGAGAGAGCTGCACCTTTGTGAGCACAACTGTCTGACAAGAATGGAAGGGCCTACAGCCCTGCCCTCCTCCCTCACCACCCGGGACTGGGCCCCTGCCTGGCACTGGGTACCTGATCCTTATTACCAAAGAATGGGAATGGCACTACCCTGCTTCCTAGAACCTCATAAAACCGAAGGAGAAATTCATTTTATGCATCAAATGCATCTATACCTGATGAAAGTGATGGGCTATGAACCAGGGCAGGGGCAGCCATGGAACAGCGTTGTATTAAGGCTCAGAGCTAAAGTCAGGGTCTCATTCTCAATAGTCAAGAGCGGAGTCTGCCCTGGTCCCCTCCACATCTCCTGGGCCTGCTGGCATCTGTTCTCGCACTCTTTGAAGTTGATACCGTCCCTGGGTCGGAGGGACGTGCCAGAGGCAGCTTCCTCCACAGGAAGAGACCTCCTGAGCCGCCCAACCTCGGCCCAAGTTTCTAGAGATAATCCTTTCTTCTTTTTTGGGGGGGCCAGGAAGGTGGGGAAGAGAGAAGGACGGTTATACAGCCATCCTTAATAGCAACAAAGAAGCCCTCTAGGATTATTGCCAAAGTAAAGCACAGTCAAAAAGATCACAAATCCAGCTTTTTGGAAAAGCTGAAGCTAAATTAACTGGAGAAACTGAGACAGAAGTCACAATTAGGATTTCCAATAAAGTTCCACCTTTCCCACGTCCAGACGAAAGGACCAGTGTTAGAAACGCCTGTTCAGCTGCCTCCCACAGCCCATCCTCAGAAGGCAGAGAGTGCCTCCATCAACCAAACAAGAACATAATCAGAGCCTAACAGTGTTAATGGTGGTTAGGTTCTTCTTTATGATCACCTACAATTTATCTATATATTGATATATAAAAAGCCAACAATTGGAACGCCATAACGACTGGGAGAACCAGTCGCTATGGCGCTCCCTGCAGCCAGTGATCAGGTGGTAGGGCCGGCCAACCTCCCACAGCCCCTCCCCCTGGCTGGCCCCATCCCTGATCACTCCCCCTCCCCCCCCAATAGGGGGTGGGGCTGGACAGCCAACCTCTTGCAGCCCCTTTCCCTGGCCAGCCCTGCCCCTGATAGGCCCCCACCACCCCAATAGGCCCATGGCCCCTTTCCCCAGCCAGCTCTGCCCCTGATCAGTCTGCTCCCCCCGCCCCACACACACACACACCCAACACACACACCAATCAGGGGTGGGGCTAGCCAGCCAACCTCCCACAGCCCCTCTCCTGGCCATTGACCTCCAATCACCATTCCCCATTCGGTACCAACATAGATGAACTTAGATGTATGCAGGAGTCCATACTGATAAATGATTGAATAAATAACATGGGGACAAAAGACAGGTGCTCCACCCTCAAGGAACCGTGACATGGGCTGTGCTAGTGATGCCTCCAAAGATAACACATGGGAGAGACTTGGGAGGAAAGGAAGGTTCACAGTGCAGACACCTAATAGCCATGACCTGGCTGGATACCAGGTCAGCATCATGGAGATGAGTTATGTCGATGGCACAGACTCGATACAATGGATGACAACAGCACTATGCCTCTGTGGTCTCTCCAAATCCACAACCCAGTCAATGGTGAGAAAACATCAGACACATCCCAACAGAGGCGTACTCAACAGAACACCTGACCAGTGCTCCTCAAAACTGCTGAGGGATCAAAAGCAGGAGAGTCTGAGACATGGGCCCAGAGGAGCAGAAGGGACATGAAGACCAAACATCATGTGGGTCTTGGGGGGATTCTGGAACAAAGAGGGCGTTGGGAAGGAACTGAGGAAATGTGAATAAATAATACTGTGTTGACACTGGTTCATTAGGTGTGACAAATGTCCCATCCAATGAAAGAAGATAAAAATAGGAGAAACTGGAGTGGCGTACAGAGGCATACTCTACACTATTTCTGTGATAATTCTATAAATCTAAAACTGTTCTAAAAAGTGAAGTTCATTAAATTAAAAGCAAGTCAAGGGAGCCGGGCAGCACCAGTATCTATGCCTCAGGAGAGCCGCCTCCAACCTTGCCCATTCCTTACCAGCACCCAAAACAGAGTGCAGGCTGGGGCCCAGGAAGAACTGGCCATCTAGGTCAGGACAGCAGACGCTTCCTTCCACTGGATGCAACATCTGGGGGCTCTAGGCAACATCTGGGCAGACAAACCCAATTCTCAGTAGGAAGACTGAAACAGTGCGAGTTCTCAAAGGCATCCCTACCTCAGTCCACCCCATTTGAGAAGAAGGGATAGAGTCCCACAGCAGTGAGTGCCTGCCACCTAACCTGAGGCACCTTGTTGCCCGATCGAATCGCAGGCTGCCTCTGTCTCCCAGCCCAACAGACACAATTCTGCGCCTTCTCCTAAGAAGGCCCCCTCATTTAAATAAAAAGGAACCAAGAGTGGTCACTTAACTGCCCCCCAGCCAAAGTTATCCTCAGTATGACTTGGATACCTGTTATCACTACTGTACTTGAGCATTATCAATCAAAACTTATTCCAGTCATACTTGACTGATAACGAGAGAAAGTGGGCTCCTATAGAAGCTGAGGCCCCAAAGCCACCTGGCACTGCTGCCCTGTGTCCTCAGAAACCTTGAGCCTCCACACGAGCTCACCCTGCAGCCCTACTGTGAGCCTACAGCCTTGTTGAGTTCTAACTACCTGCTCGCAGTAGCCAGCATAAAGGAATGTCTGGCCACATGGCGCTGGGCCACACTCGTATCTCCTGTCCTGTAAAATACAGTCCCGAGTCCAGTCACCTTTCCCATGTCCAAAGAAAGGATCAATGTTAGAAAGTCCTGACCAGCTGTCTCCCACAGCCCATCCTCAGAAGGCAGAGAGGGCCTCCATCAACCAAACAAGAACATAATCAGAGGCTAAGACAATGCCACGAAGGAGGTATAATAAATCTGCTCCTCCTTTTCCCTCCCACCCAAGGGATTGTCTGACCCAGCCCCAAGCTCTGAACCGCCCAGGCCTACTTTGAGTCCATCTACTTGAACGTGGACCCTACAAGGTCTGCTCTCCTGGGATGTAAGATCGCTGCCTCCAAGAATGTGGGTTATTAGCCTGTGAAGCACCGACTGCGTGACTGACGCCACTCTCCCCAAAATGAAGCCACTGCCATCGTGAAGTGCATTCATTAGGCTCCCACTGGCCTCGCCAAGTGTCAGGATCCAGACTGGAGAGCAAAGGAAGGGCAGTCATGGTTCGCGCATGTGCAGGATGTCACGTACGGCCCCGTGACACTGGCTTGGAAACTCAAAGCACCGCTGAGCACAGGGTTTTACCTGTCTCCCTTGGCGGCTGTTTAAGGTCCCCACGTGTGCTGAGCCATTCATTCCAGCACTGTGACGTCATCGTGGACACTGGTCCGGGTCAGGAAGAAGCCGAGGGGACACCCGTTTAAAGCAAAGGGAGAGAAGGGAGGCAGTGGCCACAGAATGCACTCAGCGAAGCTGGGCAACTCGCCGCAGGGCTGAGTGCCGGCGAAGTGCCATGTGCACCTGCCTGGCGCCTCCTCGCCCCACGGGGGCTTCCTGTCCCCGCCGCAGGACGCCAGCTGGACAACACTTGAAAGACGTTCCATCAACGGTGTCCATTATCTGAGCATCTCATCCCAAACAAATACTCTTTCCTCTCAACTTAAAATAAAGGAGACATGAAAGGGACAGATTGTGTCTAATTTTCATTTCAGGGTATCAGAAAAAGAAAGCCCATTTTCCACTAAAGTGGTCCTCACTCTCTCAGTAAGCCCTCAATAACACTCTGACAGCTCAAATGCTATCCCCTTCCCCCCAGGGAAACGTGGGTCTGAAGCTGAGCTCAGGCACTGTCAGGGTGGAGGGTACCTGAATCGTGCTAACCACCCACCTGGCGCACATGGAGTCCCACCCCACAGCCCCCACGCCTGTGCCAAACCAGCCCACAGTTCAGCTGTGACCATGGACATCTGGATCAGGAACATGGGGAATACACCACCTGTCTCTGTTGGCAGATGTTTTCTTCTTTTACATTTTCCACATGAAACAACTCAGGTGTCATTTGTTTTATTTTGCTTTAGCGAGCTTAAATTAATTCAAATCACTTTTTTTTTTTTTTTTAACATACCCAAGGTAAGGGAGCAGAATATCTTTCCCAATGATAACATACAAGCCTGTATTTTTGGTCAAATGTGCTCAGACTCGTTTTCAAACTTTGAAGCATGGGGTTATCCATACCTGACAGTGTATCCTAGACACGAGTCAAAAATACTTTTTGAAGTAAAACTTCAAGTTGATAAAGTTTGGCTGCCAGGTACAATAAGGCATGACCCCTGCTGCCTGTTACACACGGAGCGTGCCATCTCTGGGACAAAGGCGTCTGGGATCCTCCTTCTTCTAGGGCGGATTAAAATCATGGGTCTCAAGAAAAAGCAGCCCAGTGGACACCACAGTGAAACCCAGCCAGAGGCCTCTTGCGCTGGTAAACAACTCCTGAGCAGGAGACTGCAGGCGGGCAGGAACCCCTGTGGCCACCACGGAGGTCGGATGCCCTGAAGTGGCAGCACCCGTGAGGTCTGTGCAGGAAGGAGCAGGGCATCACTGTGCTCAGGGCCCACCTTAGACAGCCAGGCACTCCTTACCATGCCCCAGCCCCTATTTCCAGGGCCACTGCTCTGTCCTTTATAAAAAGAAAATAAATCATACTTAATATATCCATCTCTCTTGGAAACCAACACAGTTTCTGTATGGAATTGAACACAGTGCATAGTGATTGGTTGTCAGTCACTCAGTGACCTGTGAACAGATGTGTGAACTCATAAAGAAGCCCACAGCTGAGTAACCAGTGGCACAGCCCTCGGTCTTTTGTTCCAAAGCATGCAACTCACACCACAGTTGCAGGTGCTGAAGTTTCCCCAAGTCTCTTCCGAAATCCCAAGCTTTTGACTGCAGTGGTGCTTGCTTGCAACAGTAACTCGTCAATAGAAGGCCCCATGGGTGGCAGAGTGGAGGGGATTTTGGGGTGATGAGATGCTGAGTCTCCTTTTAACAAGCTGAGTTTGGGGACAGCGCATTCTGCACACTACTGAGTTTCGTTCACACTGGCGCCGACCCAAGCCCAGCACAAACCAGCACGCCCCCCAGCAGGAAGCGGCGCGGGAAGATCCAGCCGGATGCCCTCTCACAGCCGTGTGCATGTGCATTGGGGACCAGGGCACAGACGACGGAGCTAAGAGGGGATGGCCGCAGGGATCCCAGTCCATGCTACAGCTGTGGGACATTCAAAATAAACCAACAGGGGAACTGAAGGTCAGCTCCTCATGCCCAGGAGTTGGACCTTCTCAGTTAAAGACCCCTCTGTGGGAAGCATCACTACCGGACCCAAGACACAGTGACCCTCTCCATCCTGGGCCAGCACAGCACAGACTGCCAGACCCCGGACAAAGCTTTTCTCCCAGAGGACAGATGGGCCCTGGAAGGACCATCCCAACAGCGGCCCCAGAGGAATTGAACCTCCTATATGTCTACACAACCAACCACCCACACATCTACTCCCTACATGTCAACACAGACACTGACCCTACATCTACTTCGTGCACATCTACACTGACACCAACATGTCTACACAGACACCCACACCCATGTCTATTTCCTGTATGTCTACACATCCACCCCCACGTCTACCTCCCACACATGTACATAGAAACTCATCCCATAGCAACCTGCATATCTGCCTCCGGCATGCCTACAGACACCCACCCCTTCTGTCAAGGCTTGGTCTTATCTTCCCGAGTGTTCTGAGCTTCCTCTGGTGACCTTCCCTATTTGTGGAACCCAGAACCGGGAAGAAGGGCAGGATCCCCCTCCTTTGACCAGTTGAAACAACACTCCAGGCGCCCAACTTCATCCAGGTCACAGGCTGCCTGACACGCCCATGTGCCCTGTGCACATCCCACGGACTTCTCTGCTCTCCTCACCGCCATCACCACTTCTGGTTCCTTCGGCACTGAAGCCTATTGTCCCCAATGCGGCCAATCTGGTCTGTGACACCTGGCACTGGCTGGTCAAGATTCCTCTTAACAAGGAAGGGACAGGAAAGGGTAAGGAGCAACAGGCTTAAGCCCCCAACTCAACCCTGCCACCAGAAGCCCACCCAGTGACTTCCACGTCCATCTCACCGTCTGCTGGCCCAGGAGGCGGGCCATGCAGTCTCGGAGCAGCCATGCCACTCCCAGCAGAATCAGCGACTGCTCCCAAAGAAAGGCCCCTGCATTGTGGTTGTTCGGCAATTAGCAGTCGCTACCCTGGCCTCGATAAAATAATGATATTCTCCTGAGCTAAAGTAAGAAGAAAGCCTGCTCACCCCTCCAGCTGCCAGGAGGTGTGGTTTGCTCTGCAGCGTTTTACACCCCCTAGGTGCTGAAGTACAGCACGCCTGGCTCACGTGTGCCCAGCTCTTCCCGCTTACCAGATCTGTCCCACGTTGACCAGGGACATGTAGAGGACCCAGAGTGCAGTCATGAGAACCATATTGGCACAGCTGGTAACCAGGACGAAGGATGAGATGCCCAGCCCGAGCAGTGCCAGGGCATCCAGGTTGGCGTCCATGTGTGACCAGTCCAGCAGCCACAGGAGGGTCGGGGCATAGCTCACGGCGTCCCAGCCAACCTGCCCCCGGAAGTGCTGCTGCACACTCTTCAGGTACGCTCTGCAGGGCAGGAGTCCTCTGTCTCCGATCAGCTGCTTGTTCTGATGAAAAGCCACCAAGAATGCCACAACTGGAAGAAAAAGGAGAGGATAAGAGGAACGTGGACACCAGTGGGTGCTTTTCCAACGTGTGGGGACTCAGTTGGGCAAGATGAGGCAGAGTCCGACCAATGGTTTGGAACCAAAGCATGAACTCTGGGTCTGAGTATTTCTCAAAATATTGGGGAAAATTCTGGAAGACCAACCTGGGGAAGTCACGTGTTTATGTTTATATACCTATATGTATTACTTATACAGATTGTATCGATATATGTATGTATAGATATACATGCATATAAAATGTGTGTCTGGTTGAATGTAAATGGTCAGTTAACCATCCAGATTGCACATGGCATTCCCATCATAAATACATCCTGATAACCCATGAGTCTGGTCAATGGTGCTACTCCTGGGGCTACCCACAGTGTTTGAAGCTTATGATAATGTTTACATGTAAGTCATGATTACCCTCCATTCAAACCACAAGTTTCTGAATTAGTTTCTAACAACTCCCACTCCTACAAGAGCACGGTCACGTCCTCGGGCTTCAGTGTCTGCACGGATATGCGCTGCACAGAGATGCTGCAGGAGAGCCCAGCACTGCTGTCTGTGAACGGGAGGAGCAGGGAAACCCAGAGAGGAAAGGCAAGTGAAAAGCAGCTCCATACAGAGCGTTGGGATGGCCACTGGGACCCGGCTGGGTAGAAAACACACCGACACTGAAGGAGACGGAAGCTGCACTTTGTGAATAAAAACGCATCCCGGGCAGGACTGAGATTGAGATGGAGAACATGGTGGGGGGTTAGGCTCGCAGGTGTAACAGTCAGCACCTGCCCTTTCAGGAAAGTGGGCACCCCTTTGTCTAAAGCATACAGCAACACCCTGGTCCAAAGCACACAGCAACAATGAACTGTGTGTTCACAGCATAAGTAAAGCAAAATATGTAAGAAATAGCACAAAGACTGAGGGGAGATACTGGAAATACACTGTCAGAAGGACCTTACACCACACAGAAAGCGGCAGACTAGTATGTAAAGGAAATTAGTTTTACTAACTTAGACTCATACTAACTTAGAATGTATTATATTGTAAATCCTGTGGGAGAGAAAAAAAATTGTTTAAAACAATTCTAAAGAAATAAATCAATGCAGACACTAAAATAAAATAATTAAAAAATGCTCATTTAACCAAAAAGAAAGTAGGAAAAAAGCAATGAAGAATAGGAAGAACAAATAGAAAATAACTAACAAAATGGTAGACTTTAATCGATCACTTTAGCTGGAAATGTTCTAAACACATCAGCAAAGATAGAACTTGTCAAATTGAATAAAAAACAGGACCCAGGCCTATTCTGCTTATACAAAACCCACTTTAAATATAAAGACACAGGTAGGTTACTAGTAAAGGCACAGAAAAAGATATCATGCAAACACTAATCCAAGAGAGCTGGATGGCTTTATCAATATCAGACAAAATATATGTAAACACAAGAAATGATAAAAAAGGGGGGGGGGCATTGCATAGTGATAAGGGATCAACAAATGGACATTTAATACTAAATGTGCATGAACCTAACAACAAAGCACATGTATATATAAAATGAACTAACCTAGTACATATACTAATATGTATATATTCTTTACACATATTAACTTGATCCAACTGACACTTACAGATTTCTCTATAGTATAAAAAAACAAGACAAACTATATGACATATTCAGAGCATTCTATTTAAAAGGTATTTTCAAGTATATATGGAACATTAAGACACACCACAGTATGAACCATAAAGCACATACCAACATATAGTAGAATTGAAATAGACAAAATATGTTTCTGACCACATAGAATTAAACTAGAAATCAGTAACAGGATATTACCTGGAAACATACTCAAATCTTTGCAGATTACACCACACACTTCTAAATAAACCATGGTTTTTTAAAGGCACAAGAGAAATTACAAAATATTTTTAATTGAATAAAAGTTGAAAAAACAACATAGCAAAAATTGTGGGATGCTGCTAAAGCAGTGCTTAAAGGAAAATTTACAGTATAATGTCCATGTTAGAGAAATAGAAAGGTTTCATATCTAAACTTTTCCTTTAAGAGATCAGGGAGGAAAAAACAAATTATAAAACAAGCAGCAGGAAAGAAATTGTTTAAAATTAAAAACAGAAATCAATGAAATTGAGAATAATAAGAAAAAAAAACCCTAACCCTAACCCTAAACCCAATAAACTCAAAAGTTGGTTCTTTGAAAAGGTCACTATAACTAGTAGACCTCTAGCCAAACTGACCAACTAAGAGAGAAGACACCAATATCGGAATAAAAAAGGAGACCGGCCAGTATGGCTCAGTGGTTGAGTGTCGACCTATGAACCAGGAGATCATGGTTTGATTCCTGGTCAGGGCACGTGCTTGGGTTGTGGGCTTGATCCCCAGTGTGGGGCATGCATAAGGCAGCCAATCGATGATTCTCATCACTAATATTTCTCTTTCTCTTCCTTCCCCTTCCTCTCTGAAATAAATTCTTTAGTTTTGGGCAAAAAAAAGTTTTTATTTATTTATTTTTAAAAACATGTTTTTTAATACACACTGAAGCAGGAATTGGAGTGGTTGAAAACTGTTTTCAAAAGAAATGCAAAACTCATTACGATGTATATTAAATTTATACATTACATTTTTGTGTATCAATTACATCTCAATGAAGCTAAAAAATACATCAGTATGCTAACACTTATCCGTAAATGAAAAGTAAAACACTATTATTTTCACATATTAGATAAAGAGAGAAAGCCAGAAAATACCCACACTGGTGTGAGCTAACAGACCTTCTCAACCAATGCAGGTGGGGCATAACTGATGCAAACTCTTTGAAGACAGTTTGGCAATAGCCGATTGCAGCCTCGGTTGGACCCAATACTTCTACATCTAGGATCTCAGATGGTCAAAAAGAGCGAGGTAGGTTTTTCTGGGCTGCGTGGAACAATCTACAGGATACGGTTTGCTTTAAAAAAAAAAAAAAAGTGTAGAGGACAGTGTGTGTGTGAGTGTGTGTGTGTGTGTGTGTGTGTGTGTGTGTGTCCTATGTTTTTGTTTGTATAAGATAAATATGAATAACCGGGAGTCAGTTTGATGGCTGGTATGTGTGTTTTAACTCCAATAAAACACATACACAAGTTATTGTACATAAAGGCCTGTATACAAACTCAATTGGTTGGGCATCATTCTGAGCACCCAAGGTTGCTGGTTCAATTCTCCATCAGGGCCCATGCTTGGATTTCAGGCTCGATCCCTGGTAGGGGGCATGCAGAAGGCAGCCAATATAGGTGCCCTGCTTTCACATGGATGTTTCTCTTCCTCCATCTCCCTGTCTCTCTCTCTCTCTAAAAAAACAATAACAATATATATATTTTTTAAATGAAGCCATTAACCCTAGCTGGTTTGGCTCAGTGGACAGTGTCAGCCTGCCAAGTGAAGGGTCCCAAGTTCGATTCCAGTGAAGGGCACACGCCCGATTACAGGCTGGATTCCCGTATTGGGTGTTCAGGTGGCACCAGATTAATGATTCTTTTGCTTCACTGATTTTTTTTTCCTCTCTCTCCCTCTCCCTTCCTCTCTGAAGTCAATTTTAAAAAAGAAGATACATTGTTATTGATCCCACAGACATTAAAAAGATAATAAAAGAACACTATAATCTCTCTAAGATCATAAATTCAACAACTTTGATGAAATATACCAATTACTTGGAAGACAAACTACTGAAACTCACAAAAGAAAAAATAAAGATAATATATCACAACAATTGTATCTCAGAAATGCAAGGCTGGTTTAATACTCAAAATTGATCAATGTAGTTCGCCAAACTAACACTAAATAAGAAAAACCATATGATAATATCAATATCAATCAACACACACATAAAAAGCACATGACGAAATTCAACATCCATTCACGATAAAAATGTTCAGCAAGTTAGGAAGAAAAAGAAACTTCATCAACTTATAAACAGTAGCTATGAAATCCAAAATCATACTAGAAGATGAGCAATTACCGTATTTTTCGGACCATAAGACGCACTTTTTCCCCCCCAGAAGTGGGGGGAAAAAGTCCCTGCGTCTTATGGTCCAAATATAGCCTACCACATATACTTTAAAAAAAAAAGTTTTTTTACTTGCCCGGCTCTGTGTGGTCTCTGTGTGCTTGCCCGGCTCTAAAATGGTTCTAAATGCTGCTGTTTACTTTACAGGGTTGATTACATGTGTTTATGACTGTGATGTTGGGTTTTAATGCACATAAAATATTTTAGGACACTATTTGTTTCAGAATCTTTTTTTCTTCATTTCCCTTCTCTAAAAACTGGTGCGTCTTATGGTCCGGAGCGTCTTATGGTCCGAAAAATACGGTAATAAATGAGTTTATGAAGACCACAGAATACAAGATTAATACACAAAAAGTCAACTGTATTCCTCCTATATCAACAATGTACAACTACAAGCTGAATTTTATAATAGTTGACAATATGAGAATAGCACCAAAAAATGAATAGATAAAAATCTAACAGATTCTAACAGAATCTGTATGTGGAAAACTACAAAACATTGATGAAAGAAAATCTAAATAAATGGACAGATACATCGTGTTCATGGATTGAAGAGTCAGCATGCCCATTCTCCTCACTTTGACCTATAGACTCAATGTAATCTCAATCAAAATATCCAGCAACCTTTTCTCTAGATTTTTGTTTTGTTTTCTCTAGATGTTTTGTGATTCTAAAATCTATCTGGAAAACCAACTTAGAACAGGCAAAATAATTCTGATAAAGAATGAAGTTGGAGGACTCATATTATTCAATGTCAAGACTTACTCCAAAGCTACAGTAATCAAGGCAGTGTGATACTGGCAAAAAGACAGACACAACCGAAACCGGTTTGGCTCAGTGGATAGAGCGTCGGCCTGCGGACTGAAAGGTCCCGGGTTCGATTCCGGTCAAGGGCACGTACCTTGGTTGTGGGCACATCCCCAGTA